CGTCTCCCCTGCCCACAGCCACAAATAGCCCATTCCCACCACACAGGGCAGTGCCTGACAGGCAGCAGCCACACCGCAGGGGTCCATGGAGCCGCCTCCCAAGCCCAGTTGCTGCTGGCCCTGCTGGGCACCAGCCACCAGGGCCACGGGACGGCAGGGAGGCAGCCACACCTCCCTCTGGGGCACGCAGACGGAAAGCCAGCGGACGCCAAGTCCAAGGATGTGAGGAGCATTAAGTAAACGAAGGTTTATTTCAAAGTTAGTCTCAGAGCAAGCTGCTCCGGGGGCTGGGCCAGCTGCAGGACCAGAGGTGAAGCGTCCCCCTGCCGGAGGGCGCCCTGCCCAACCATGCACCAGGTTACTAGCACTAGCAGCAGCAAGGGACCTGCAATCCAGGTTAAGCTGCACACGCCGAGCGCACGCTGGAGGCCACGTGCCATGCAGCCAGGACACGATGGCCCTTGCTCGGTGACCTCCTGCAGCAAGGCCACTCCGGGGCAGGTTAGGTCGGACAGAGCACTGGAACGAGAAGGGCAGAGGGGAGAGGTCAGAGTGCATGGGGCATGACCCGCTGCCCAGGAGGGCCAGGCTGCTCGGGCTGAAATCAAGGGCTCCATGTGGCCTTGCAGAGCACAGCTGCAGCGCCTGGCCGCATCCGTGCGCCTAGGGCGGGACTGGCCAGGGTCGGCTCTAGACGGTGCGCGAGCACCGGGGCCACCCACAGCACAATAGAACACCCACGTGCGTCTCCCAGCAGGGCTCTAAACCACTGAGCCCCGAGGCTGACTGCACAAGCCTCCAGATTCGTCAGTTCTCAGAAAGTGACGGCAGGACCGCGTCAGGCTGTGCTGCGAGGATGAGATTCGCAAAGGCCCAGGACGAGGAGGCTGCAGGCACACCTGGGGCCTGGAACCCACGCGCGTCTCGGACTGGAAGGAGGGGGGACCCACCCTCCTGCAGACTAGGAGAGTGCGACCTGGCCACCCCGGAGCTAGCCAGATGTAACCTGAAACCATTCGTGGGGGACCCGGACACCTGAGCACCATGGGTAACCAGGCGCCCAGAAACTCTCAACTGTGAGATGTTTCTGCAAAGCCCTGCTGCGGGTCTGGGGCTGCTGTCCCCGGGGCCCATGCTGGGTTAGAGCCCCAGTGGAAGGTGGTGGAGGCAGTGTGGCCTGGGGGCAGTGAGAGGGGTGCGGCTTCCACGTGAGGGGGTGTGGCCTGGGGTGATATGAAGGGGTGCGGTCTGGGAGCCATGCAAGGGGGTACAGCCTGGGGGCTGTGCGAGGTGATGTAGTCTTCACGCAAAGGGACTACACTCCACTGGGTGTGCTTTCTCCCTGTCTGTCTCTGTCAGCTCATCTTCCCTCTGGCAATTCTGCTATAAAATTAATAACTTAGTATTTAGTATGACTTCAATATGTGCAAAGGTGATAGGTGCTATGAAAAACAACCCAGGTAATCGCCGATGGCTCTGTCTCTGTCGGCCACACCGTAGCATTGCGGGCCTGATGCCAGCCCTGTGCCTCGGCCCGCCTGTCTGTGGATGAAAACCCAGGCACATGCCTCACAACACCGTGGCGGGGCCGGGGAAGCGGCCTGGGCCGGCCTGTCAGCCCCACCAGCAGCATCTGGTCCCAGGCAGGAGGCTGGAAAAGCTGTGAGGGGTGGAGACCCTCGGACCCGTCTCCTGGTTCTCCTGCCTGAACGTCACAGAGCCCACCCTGGTCTCTCCACTCACTGCTGCCCTCACCCCACGCGTGGTGAACACTGCTAACCCCAGTGGCAGGACCGGCCCAGGCCCCCTGGCAACATCCACAGGCAAACCCCACGACAGCGAGCCCTCACGGTGTCCCTTGTCTCCCCGGCCCCGTCGGCTGGTCTGACCGGGACGCGCTGGGAAGGCTTCCACCGGGCACATGTCACTCACCAGGCTCACTCTTACCTTTTAAAATGTAGTCCGTCAGCAAAGTAGGCACCTTCTCGTTGTCCTCCTTCATGGCAAAGAGAACTAGGGAAGGAGAGAGGTGGGTGAGCTGAGACAGCCAGGGCACGGAGCCCACGTCTAGGACACGGAGCCCACGTCCAGGGCACGGAGACCACGTCTAGAACACGGCGACCCCCAGGGCACGGAGCCCACGTCCAGGGCACGGAGACCACCTCCAGGCCACGGAGACCACGTCGAGAACACGGCGCAGGGCACAGAGATCACGTCTAGAACACAGCGACCCCCAGGGCACGGAGCCCACATCTAGGGCATGGAGACCACGTCTAGGACACGGCGACCCCCAGGGCACGGAGCCCACGTCTAGGGCCAAAACCCCCCCAGGGCACAGAGCCCACGTCCAGGGCACAGAGATCACGTCTAGAACACAGCGACCCCCAGGGCACGGAGCCCACATCTAGGGCATGGAGACCACGTCTAGGACACGGCGACCCCCAGGGCACGGAGCCCACGTCTAGGGCCAAACACCTCCCAGGGCACGGGAAACATGGGCAGCCGGCACAGAGTCCCACCAATCCTGCCTGGCCAGGCTGTCATCGACGGTGGAGGACAGCAGGCCCCACGCTGCCTCGGGCATGGGCCGCTCCCTGGCCTGCTCCTCTGACCGCCTGTGCCACTGTGTGCTGACACAGGTGCCCACACGTCTACTGAGACGTCCTCCGGCAGACGGGGCCCAGCCCACTCAGCATTGCGAGGCTGACCCACACGGGGCGCTCCCTGAACACCAACGGCACGCGTGTGCTCGTCAGCTAGACTGGCTCACAGCGTGAAGACCCTCCGGAGGGTCCTGTCTCAGCGTGTCTCTCACTCATGGAAGAAAGAACACTTATTTTTTAAGTATCTAATCAGGCATAAACAAATGGAGTAATGTTTCAAAAAGAATCCGCTTCAAGGCCGCAGATGGTGGTACAGCTACATCGCTGGATTCCCATATAATCAGCCGCTGCTCGAATCCCAGGCCCGGTGGCTTAAAACTCACGCCGGGCACATGTGTGCATGTGTGCCCAGAATCCCAAGAGGAGAATGGAGGAGAAGGAATCGCGGCATGGCCATCTCCCCTAGGGGGTGACTTCTCACTTTCTGTCTCTCTGTCTCTCTCTGTCTCTCCGGCAAGTGCACAAGCCCTATAGCAAAAATCTCTCTTTAAAAAAAAAAAAAAATACTCAGCTTCTAGATACGGTCAGTCTAAATGTTGAGAGTCACAGCTGGGGCCACTTGGGGAGGCCCAGGGTCTGCGTCCGCAGACCTCCCTGTGTGTATCGGAAACACATGTGCACACGTGTGTGTGTGTGCTACAGCCTTGGCCAGTGGGTCATGGCGTGGCCCTGCCTTTTTCACTCCCTGACACTGCCTTTAAAGGCAAATGATTAAAAATGACTATTTAAAAATTCTTACCTCCACCCTTAGGAAGGAATGACGCTCAGTTCGTATGTGTTTATTTTCTCCCTGTGTCCGGAGCGGTGCTGGGCTCTGCGAGCTGCTGCGGCCTGAGAGACCGCCACGGGCTTACAGGCTCCACGTGAGACTGCTCACGCCCACAGGGAACTTGCTAAAGTGTTAAGGCTTTTTAAAAAGCTTTCTATAAAATTTGAGACCGGTGTTGGCGTAGTGGCTATGTAGCTAGACTCCCATGCAGTCGACTGCATAAACTCACACCAGGAGCATATGTGTGCACGTCCAAGATTCCAAGAGAATGGAGGAGAAGGGATTGCGGCATGGCCATTCCCCCGGGGGGTGATTTCTTGCTTTCTGTCTCTCTGTCTCTGTCTTTCTGGTGAGCATATGCACCCTATAGCAAAAACCTCTTCAAAAAAAAAAGCTTTCTATAAAATTTTAAAAATCACTTATGTTCCCAAATAACACCTTCTCAAATTCGTGTCATAATCCCTATCACAGAAGTGAAGTTTGTCGAAAACCCTGTGACAGTATTTAGACTTGGGCCACCTGGTGACAGGGTGATAAGGCACCTGGGTCCCGCGTCCTGCTGCGTGGCTTCAGTTCTGGACCTGGCGCCTGGAAAAGCATGCCAGGCAGGTGTGCGTGCCAACAGGAGAGACGCGGGGCTGGCACGGCCATGCCTCACGCGCTTTCTCACTCTCCCTCACGTGCAAATCACGCAGGGAAGGTGTCTAGGCCTGTGCCTGACGTGGCTTCATAGAAGGCGCGAGAGACCTCCGCTCAGGAGGCGTGTGGGGCGGCGGGCGGCGGGCCATGCCTCCACTGCTCCGCGGTCTCTGCCTGCAGGTGGCAGCGGCGGCCGGCTCAGAGGCGCAGCGGTAGCGCTGACTCACGGTGCCGGGTGCCAGTGGAAGCTCGCGGCTCCTTTCTCCGGGTCAGCCTGAACTCGGGTGCAGTGTCCGGGAAGCCGGCTGGCTGGTGGGCAAGGCCGGGGATCGGCGCGCGAGGCCCCACGTAGGGCATTGTTTTCCCTCACGCTTGTGAAATGACTCACCACAAATAATTTCTCAGCTTGAAACCCAATTAGGATTTTTTAGAAGTTCATGGAAAATGTATATTAAAAAGAACTATGCATGGATTTTAATGTTTTTGCACCAAAATCAACTCATCCTTTAATTCCATCTTCCATGAACTTTTCGAGGTCGCTGCAGTACTCGGTGTGGGCACGTGTCAGCCTCATGGCAGACACACGCCAACGCTCATGAGAGCGCTAGCGGGGCGGCACGTGCACCTGACC